AAGTGAGGTGGGTTACAATTGTTATGACAGAGTGAGGTGGATTACAATTGTTATGGCAGAGTGAGGTGGGTTACAATTGTTATGGGAGAGTGAAGTGGGTTACAATTGTTATGGCAGAGTGAGGTGGGTTACAATTGTTACGGCAGAGTGAGGTGGTTTACAATTGTTATGGCAGAGTGAGGTTGGTTACAATTGTTATGACAGAGTGAGGTGGGTTACAATTGTTGGAGCCTTTCTTTTCTCGGTCGTTTCTAACCCATCACGTCGTATCGTATTGGGCCATCATATTCACACACTCGTGGAAGCTATCACACCCGCCTACCCGGCATACGTTAGACTATTCACGGACGCACAAATGCATTCTAAGCGGCAGGTACACACAAACACACACACCCGAGAGATGTATCCAATCCCCAAGCCAGTCACAGCACGCAACTCTAAACACAAACACGCGCACGTACACGATGTCCACTGAATACGAATATATGTTCTAGCGTCAGATACATACCATCGTCTGGCTGGGGTAGGTGTGGCGACTGAGCCCCACCCTCCGCATCTTCAGGTGTACTGTCAATGGCGCTGGTCATGACCATAGACCCGGTAGACTTTGCTCGCTGATTTCTATTCAGACTAGACTTAGATAGACTGCACATGTGCACATGGAGGAGTGGGAGAGAGTGAGAATGGGCCTTGTTTTGTTGGGTGGAGGTAGTGACAAGACAAACATGTATATAGAAACTATATACTAGTTTATACATACTATATATATACTAGTTTATGTATACTATAAATACATACTAGTTTATATATACTATATATACGTACTAGTTTATATATACTATATATACATACTAATTTTTATATACTCTATATACACACTAGTTTATATATACTATATATACATACTAATTTATATATACGATATATACATACTAGAATATATATACTATATATATACATACTAGTTTATATATACTCTATATACATACTAGTTTCTATATACTATATATACATACTAGTTTATGTATATATATACTAGTATATACATACTACATATACATATACATACTAGTTTCTATATATTAGTTTCTATATACTAGTTTATATATACTACATATACATATACATACTAGTTTCTATATATAGGTTTTAAAAAACTAGTTTATATACACTATTTATACACACTAGTTTCTATAAATTTGTTTCTATATACTAGTTAATAATACTAGTTTCTATATTAAAACTAATATGGTGCGTATTGCTTAGCATGCGCATCTTAATATCATCTATTGATGAAGTTCTTTCATCAGAATAAAGATCCAACTTATAACTTATCTCGATCCACATGATAACGTGTATTTGGCACTAGGTCTATACGACTATCCCTGATATTCACTATATAATTGTATCGTGAGCACATACAACACCACTGAAGAGGTTATCAACGCACAAAGCTGTATCAATATATGAATACAGCATACTGCATAGCAGAAACTTATAACACTCCACCAACGAACTCACTATCGCACATATGCACCTTGCAGAACTCTCGCCCTACATGTAACGTCAATAGCCTCTACACATACATTAATACACACCGTAACACACGCGCACCCCTACCATACCTAGACGCCAACATCAGTACACACCCTAACACATGCGCACCCCTCCCATACCTAGATGCCAACATAGCCTTCCCCTTGGTGCTGCCTACATGCGTATCGATCTTATCGAACACTTTATCGATACAGACCGTGGCTTGTGCTGCCGTGGTATCTCGCGATACGCCCGAGTGGAGGGCAGCGAAAAACAAATTATCTTCCACGTCTTCACGCATTTGTTCCGGTACTTCGGAGATGCGTGTGCTCGCGAGTGTCTCGGGTGTGCTATTCGCCGACATAGACTACACAGGGATGTATCACACGGGAACGTGCAGTCAGACAGAGGAGCGATGAGTCATGCGAGGTGTATTACACGTAGAAGGAGATACGAAGTTAAGACCAATGGGAACCCCCAATAAATCCGTATGGTCGTACGGTAGGTAACTTGGTTCCTCCTTAGGTAAGTAGCATCTCGGAAATTGGCTAGCTAATAATCTTCCAATAGTTACCGGAACGTTTGCAATCAACGACACAGCTTTGAAGCACATGCACACTGACAGCGAATAACTCCAATACACACGAAGCCGTTCGAAAGTGTGCTTCAACTGAAGCATGTATAAAGAAATGGTACGGAGACAAGACAGACCACGTAACTATACACATGGCATAACTATAAGCGGCGCACAGAGACACGACACACAACCTAACCATGCACATGGTACAACTATAAGCATAAGCGACACACA